CTTGTTAAAAGATGTTGGTTAATTGCTACCGTAACCATCTAGACACATTACCATTGTTGTCATAGTAAGAAGTGTGGTAACACCCAGAGCAACTCGTCCAGCTGTTGAATGCATATCGATCCAAAATGAAACCCATGAGACAATCACTATCATCGTAGTAGGACCATAAAGTTGTACTAAGTAGTAGCTGTAAAGATAATATCATTGAAGTAAATCATGTAAAAGGTTAGAGAGTAGAGAAGCAGAGTAGGCCTTTTTCTGCGTCTCTGCTACTGCCATTTAGGGGAGAAGTGGTAATGGGTTGCTTACCTGAATTGCCTTTTCAATATCAGCTTCATTCTTAGGCAGGCATATGACCCTAAAAATATTTTTATTACTATTTCGAACATTTTGCATTGCATTAGGAAACCAGAAGTCAATTAAGGGCTTGATATTTAGCATTGTTATTCTCTTTGAAAGTTGAATTTCTTAATTATCTTAAAATAGGGAATGAATGTAAGCAAAAACCCGTCCAAAATTATCCATAAGGGGTGTGATTGGAGTCTCAATTTGCAGTAAAATCTTAATTGCTTCCGCATAACTTCTCGTTCTCATTACCTCCTAATTTTAGCGATGACATACAAAGTAGCAATTAGCAATAGTTCACAACGCATGTCTATTAGTATCCAATTAGGAGAATGGGCGGAGTTCAAGGTTTGCTCCACTAAAGTTCATGCGAAGAACAATAGCAACAGGCCAGATGAACTTTGTAGACAATTAGTGAGGATAACTTCTTTTTAACACAAGAACTAGTCGAACTAATAGGATTTCCATAATTTTCTTGCAATACAGTACTCCTTGGTTAAGCATCGCCTACCTGTATTCGTATGACTGGTACAGTCATCATTCGTAGTGATATTTTGCAATTGAAAATTTGGCAAATCACTACCCACACCTGGTTTGAGCTGAACCGGTGAATCATCCCATTCATAGACAATATCCTGAAAATCAGGGTAATCCACATAA